ACGCAGAGAGGGAAAGGCAGTGCCTCTAAGTCGCCCCTTCTGTTCTCTGCCAGAAGCCATTCCCTCTCCAGCTGCCCCTCACCAGGCCACCCGATCAGCTTCAAAGACACCCAGCTCATTTTCCACTAGGCCCCCAACCATCCAGCTGCCCCCTGACGGGTCAGTTGTGAAGGGACCCCATCGTGCAGGGTTCATGAACCCAGAGCCCTGGCACAGAGGGAGAGACAGCTGAGGTTTCCCTACAGTGATGGTGCTTGGAGGGCTCTCTTCCTCTCTAAGGGAGTGAGTGATTCTACCTTCTCAGAGAGGACAGGGGTTGTGGGGAGAATGGAGACACCTCTACCTTCTCTCTTCAGTTCTCAACTCCTCAGTCTCCTGCCACCGAAAGACAGTAAATTAGAAGGACAGCACCTTGAGGCTCTGCTCCTCTCTGGCCCCTCCTCAGCCTAACTCCAGGATCAATACCTAATGTTCAATTCAAGATCTTATCTGAGTTTTGCAAGGATAAGGCAACAAACTTCTCCCCAATGATTAAATCCTTTGATGATCAACCCAATATGTTTTCAAGCCACCTCTAACAACTTTTAGAGAGCAAATGAAATGACCGGGGAAATTGGAAAGCTGGCATTCTCTCCATCCCCTTGGGCACAATTCATCTCACAGAAGCCATGAAATGAAATGACGGGTAGGGCCAAGGCAGGCCCTAGCTTCTATTGAGAGTCAGGAGCCGAGGTCCACATCTGGCTGTGGGCATGGGCCATGTGGCATTTCAGAACCACGTGCCTGGGCTTTCTCTATCTGCAACTGGAGGTGCACTACAGTACAGCAAGATGGGGGAGGGGGGGACTGAAGAATTAATCAGATGTCGTAAACAAGCCCAGAAGATCAGCCACCCTGCTTTAAACCACTGCCGAGTACGGTGCTTTCAGCGGGAGTGAGAGCCTGGGCTCTGGGCCAGACAGGCTGGGTTCTCACCCCAACTCTGTCCTGATTAGTGGGACACTGTGGGCAGCTCCGTTCACCCACGGCTGTGTGTCATAAAGATTCCACAGAATAAAAATGCTCAGAAAATCACTATTTTGAATGTTAGCTAGATCTGGTGAGGCAAAAACAGAATCCACCCACGGGCCACCAGCCCCCACCACGATTTGCTCATCGGAGAGGAGCAGACTTGTCCCTTCGTTGGGGTGGACTTGTGCACAACGGCGGATGAGCATAGATTTGACCTCTGGTCCCACCCAGACACCTGTTCTGAAGGATGGTCCTTGTCTTCTGAGCTTCCCCAGGACATCACTGGTAAACGGTTCTGCATGGAGCATAGCAAGGTGCACTGCTAACAAGAAGACTGGGCGACTCTGACAGTTCAAATCTAACCATGACTCCAGGGGAGAAGGATGGGCATCTGTTCCCACTGCAGTTCACAGCCATGGAAATGCAGGAGTCACTATGAGTCACAACCAACTCAATGGCAGTGGTTTGCATTTATCCCTGCCCAAAGACACTCCCTACGTGCTAATCTCCATCAAGGGTCTACTAGTTTCTTCCTTTCTTTTTTTTTTTTTTAAATTTAAAAAGTCCCTGTTTTTAATTAGGGAATTAGTCTTGGGAATTCTCATACTTATAAAGCTAAAATGAAGAAACATACTTCCTTCAGCCAGAGAGAGCACAAACCACTACCAAGATGAACCCAACTCATGGGACTCCATGCCTGCTCTGGTTGGTGGAACCCACTCTGTAAAGGTTTCAATGGCTGATTTTTTTCAGAAGTAGATCTTCTGGGTAGACTCAACCCTCCAACCCTCTGGTTAGCACTAGAGAGTGCAGCTGTTTGTACCCCTAGGCACTCCACAGCGAGGCTGAAGCACAGAAGTACTATGGGATGAAACACTGGCTAGCGATGTTGTAAGTAGGACAACAGACATGTACCTGAGGATGATCCCTCTTCCTACAGGCCCCTCGCCACTCGTGAGGAGTGTGGGCAGGAGGTGGTCACTGACAAGTAAGGTGCAAGACTTCTGCTCTCACTTCTGGCTCCCAATAGGATGAGTGGCCAGTGGGTCCTCCACGGCTGAACATGGAGTCCCTGAGCCTGGTGGGCCCAACTTTCAGAAGGCCAAGCCCAGTCTTTGTGTTCTGCTTTCTCCAAACAGCAGCTGTTACAGCCCCAAGAGCAATGAGGCAGGTCTCAAATGTCTGTGGTTCGGAGAGAGTCACCTCCCGGGCTGCCCTGCAGGATGCTGGAGAAGTGCTGAGCATGCCTGACGACACCTGGGAGTTAATGGCGAGGCCTCTTTAAGAAGAAGCAGGAGGCAGGCTGGCCAGAGAGGTGTCCTCAACTTCTGCTACTGCAGCACTTTCCTCTTGATAAGATAATGGAAAACGGGGAGCTAAGGAGGTGAGGGTGAGGCTGGGGCAAGGTGGCTGCAGGAGGATTTTATTTTCTTGTGCTTATCACCTGATTCCAAACGTCCACTTCATCAGGCCACTGATGTGTGGGCTGCTCTGTCCAGCCTGTGCTTCTGCTGTGATATGTTCTTCTTCTTCTTTTTTTTTGAAGAAGCAAAACTTTGACACCTCAAAATTCTCTGAATCACTCACGTGTATCACCCAAGCTTGAGTACCCAGTACAAAAAGGAATACCTTCTTGGCTGTTTGGTGGGGCTGGAAAACGTATAGAGGTCAAAATCCCCCAATTACACAGAAAGAAAATTGGGGAGGCAGGTGATTCCTGAGTTAAGAAGTCCAGGAGAAAAGGAGAGGCAGGTGATGTGAGATCCTTTTTGGGGAAGGGAGACCTCTGTCTGCTTTCTCCTGCCCCATGCTCAAGCCCTGACAGTGGCCCACAGGCTGTGTCCACTTCGCACTGGATCACAATACAACTATTTATTCAAGGGACCCTAATAGCATAATGATTGAGTACCCAGCTGCTAACTGTAAAACTGAAAGTCTGAACTGACCGGCTGCTCTGCAGGGCCAGATGAGGTACTGTGTTTCCATAAAGATTTACATGCTTGGAAGGGCTGCAAGGCAATTTTTCTCCTCTGTCTTGTAGGGTGGCTGTGACTCAGAACTGAGTCACAATGGGTTAACATTTAATCACAGTTAATGATATTTTAAGTGTCCTAAGCCATTACGCTCTCCCAGCAATCCTAGAGGGAAGTACTATTATTATCCCCATTCCACAGATGAATAAAATGAGGCAAAAAAAAAAAAAGTTAAGTGATTTTTCCCCAAGCCACAATAGCCCTCAGGCTGCTGTGAAGATCAAATTAGAGCATGCACATGGAAGTGGTATCCTGGAGACTATACAGTGACATCCCCTCTGGGGATGAGGCTCGAGGACATTCACGAGGTACCTGTGACAACTACCACCACCTGCCTCTCATGACAAAGCTCCATGTTTCTACACCCATGTTCTTTACCCCCCCCACATGCTTTTCTTTCCCTTCCTGCCCTTATACTCCCCATACCCACCATCTCCCTGCACCAGAAACACAACTTGACTCCACGGTTTTGCATCAGATTCTCTATTTCTCCATCCCGAGGATGGTGTAACCGGATGCAAGACAAGTCAGATTATCACGCAGACTCCGGAAAACACCTCTCCTTCTCCCACCCCCGCAAGCAAGCACATCCCTCAGCTTCTGCCTCCCTTCCATCAGTGGTCTTCTCCAAACAGGAGAGATAGGCAGTCAGCACTGGTAACTGCTTCTAATCACAGGTGACAGCAGGAATGTAAACAACACAAGAAACATCTAAATGCAATCCAAGTGGCAAGGAAAACACTGCTCGCTCTCTGCTCCCCTCCCCTGGGAACACGCACACGCTCCCCCCACCCCACCTTGAAGTGCTGCTCGAAAGACGCCCTGCTAATACGACTCCCAGAAACTAGATTCTGGAGTTGCCTCTTCTGATAGTGTCCCCAGGGAGAACTTTCTAGATCCATTTCCCCCACCCACCACCCCAGTTTAAAGTAATAGTTGTAACATTGCTGGGAGGTGCAAGATTAGAGATTACTTTGGGAATCTGCTGAAAGTCAGGGATCCATCTCTGAGAAAAGAGCAAAGGTAAAACATTTTGCAGATCATTTCAGGGAGTTCACAGATCCCATAACATAGACAAGAGAATATGGACACGGACACATTAAGTGAGTTCAGATTCCTTCTGACACCAGGGAGTTAAGAAGGGTATTTCTGAGTCTGTAATCTCTGCATAACAGCTACACGCTCAGACGCTAACTGAAGCTCTGGCGGTTCAAAGCCACCTCACTGCTCCGTGGAAGAAAGACCTGGTGAGTTTGTTTCCAAAAGATTTTTAAAAAACTACTGCCACTGTGTCAGTTCCAACTCACAGTGCCAGAGAATGGCTCACAAGGTTTCCATGGATGTAATCTTTACAAAAGCAGACTGCCCAGATCTTGCTTTCTCCAGATGACTGGTGAGTTTGAACCACCAACCTTTTAGTTCACAGCTGAGAGCTTAACCATCATACCAGCCAAGAAAACGCTAAAGGCAGGTCTACTCAATCACACAAAGTCACAGTGAGTTGAAATAGTCAACTTCGCACCCAAAAAACAACACCCAAAAAAACTACATGTTGTACAAACCTACAGCTTCACTCCCTCCACCTACTCTTTAGACTGACGGTGTGTTTCTAAACCATCTCCTTCAATACAAATTGAGAACTCAACTCAGTAATTGCTATGAACAGTTTCCACTTGGGTCATTTGCTGCTGTGGTTAGTGAGGGGCTGACATAAGAGCAGAAATATCTACCTGAATGTGTGAGTTGGATCTGGCTGAGAAAAAGAAAATGGCATTAACTTTTCAATATTTGGATTCTCTGCACTGTGTGGTCCTCCATGAAGAAAAGTATTCAGCACATGGTCAATCCTACTTGCTTGGTTCTTGGAATATTCAACACATCCTTTATAAGTATAGTGGGACGCAATGGAGGCAAAGAGAAGGGAAGGGGTGACCCTTCTCACATTGAGGTTCTTACCTCTGTGCCTGTTGGTGGTCTTGTCAAACATCAGCATCGCATCTTCCACCTGTAAAACAAAGAGCCTGTTTTAGGAATCGGAACAAAACAATGCGGAACATATGCTCTTTTGGAAGGGAAGGGCTACTGTTCTATAAAGAAAAGTTCCTCAGAGAAAATGTGAAAATATAAAAAAGGAGAAAATATTACAAAGAAGGAGAAAATATCACACAGCACAGCTTGAGTCATGGCTGGAAAAGTGGCACGATAGGGATGGTTAAGTACCAAACTATGGTGCTCTGGACAGGAGAGAGTTCAGATCTGTTGTTCCCAGGCTGGCTGTGAGACTCAGCAGTACCTAACAACAACAACAACATTATTAACAGAAAAGCTGGCAGCTCAGCCCCACCCAGTGGCACCACAAAAGGAAGGTCACAACCTTGAAACGCCATGTACGAGAGTTGGGATCCATGCAAAAGTAAGTGGCTTTAATTCTTTATTTTTTTCCTTTTGGCTGGGGGAAGAGGTTCTCTTTTGTCTTTTAAAATCTATAATGAATTTACTATTTTAAGTAATTCTGCACACATAATCTTTTTCTCACAATATTACAATGTTGCACATAATTCCCAGGCTACTCCATATCCACCCTGAAGGTCATTTTTATTATTGCAGAATATTTTGGAATGAGCACTCATTCCCCTTCTGATGGATAATTCCAGTGATTTCCACTTCTAAACAAGAGAACGGTAATGCCTCAACACTAGCACTTTTTTAAAAACAACACTAGATGGAAATACAAAAGGATCCCCTTTGCCTCTTCCTACTTTCTTCCCCCACCCCATTCTGTCCTTAGAGAAATTCAGCAATGGGGAGGTGGCATGAACCCCGCTCGATTTCCATATAAAACTCTAGAGACTCAGACCCAAAGAGTCAGATTTGCCTTTGACGTCCCATGCTTCTTATTTATGACCCAGTCCTTTGTGTTACATCTTTAGTGCAGGTATTTGTCCTAATCCATTAGCAACTCATTTGGACAAAGTACTAAGTTTGGCCAGATGAATGGCCTGTTCTTGTCATTCATTTTGTGGCCAAGGTTTGCCATTAAAAAGACAACGCACCCTACCCAGCTGTGGGTGGGCCAAGCCCTCAGGAGGAGGGCAGTGTGTTTAGAGTGATTTTTGTGTGTGTGTCTGTATAGCCAGCAAGGACACAGCACCGTTCATTTGTGCTCAAAGGCTCACCAATGAGCTTTGGGGCCGGAGCGAAGCCAGTTGAGAAAAGGAATCATAAGCTATTCATTTCTCACTCTTCCCAGACTACAATCTCAGATGGAGGGGAGGGAAAAGGGAGACGCAATAAAACTAGATTTGAAATGGGTCCTCCAGACAAATCAAATCTATTTTTCCAGATGCCATCAAACATAATAGGAGGAGAAGTGAAGTCAAGGTAAAAATGGAAGAAAGGGGTAGCAGGCAAGCCAGGCATAAACCTCGAAGGTACCGGCAGGTTTTAAAAAAAAAAACCAACAAAAATCCCTTCTCAAGCCAGGGTCCCCTTTTGTTGCTAAGCAACAGAGACTGAGCAAACAAGCTCCTGGGGCCATCCCCTTCTGGTCCCCATTTCTGAAGTTAGTTACTGGGGGTAGGGGGAAATGGCCCTGCCCGGTGACTTTCTCCGCCAGCAGGCAGCTGCTCTATCTCCCAGACCTAACGTTTCAGGAGCAGGCGATGTTCACTGGAGATAACTTGAATGAGGGCTCCTGCACCAGGCCTTTGCTAGGTGCCCTTCTCTTCCAGCCAGCTGGGCTGGAAGAGTCCCCCTCGTCACCTGCTGAGACCATACGCACACCAGCCGTTCTGCCTCCCATACGCAGCATTAGCAAAACCACCATAAGATCAACTGGTTTGTTTGTACACAGAATAGTCACACTTGAGCATATGGAGTCTCAGGCTCAGGCCCTGCATTCGATAAGAATCGGAGTGCCTGGGGTGCGCGTGGGAAGGGGTGAAGTGTGCTGGGTATCATGCAGGTAGACGTGACATCTGTTTCCCGCCCATCTCCACATTTTCTAAGATGTTTGCCAAGTCCTCATTTTGAGCTGAAAATGCCTAACAGTAAGGAAAACAGCCTCCCTTCTGTGTTGGCCATGTTTTGGTACTGAAACATAGATCCCCTTAGGAAATAAATATTTTGAATTTAAAAACTGTATTTTTAAAAGCCCCTTTCAACAGCGCGCCCCTGGTTCCCGCTTTCCTTTCCAAAGTTTAAATGTTTTCTAGCGCTGCCCTCTCAACACTGACTCCGTCCACCCTGGTGAGCATGGGGGGAGGATCTGTGTATGTTTTTTAGGGCAGCCATTGTTGAAAAGAATAGAAGTCTTTCCACTATAGTCCTCTTGTACAATGGGACTCGCAAAGACCTCCTGAATAGATAAAGTGTCAGGGCGAAAGAAAAATTCTATTAACACTTTACAAAATAAAACATCTAAGAAGTGGCTGGAGAGGAAAGAGAAAAGGGTAGGGGGAAATCAATATGGATAAGTCCCAGCGCTTGGGGGGAAAAACTTTTCAGCAATTGCAAAACACTTATTAATTCAGAGAAGCCATCAATGCGATGGAAATCTGGAAGAACAGCAAGAGCTAGAACTAGAAGAATTTGAATATACAAAGGCTGAGTAGAATGAAAAACACGGCCCTCACGTGCGGCACTGTTTCTCACGGTTCTGTGTGAGCCCTGTCAAGGGAACAAGGGGCACAACCAAGGTAACTGGTATTCAACCCTGGACCTAGCAAGGTAACTCACTCCCTCTCCCTCTGCTAATTCCCCCTCCCCGCCACTCCCTCCCTTCATCCCCCTACCCGGTCTCCCTTTCTCTCCCCCACACACAATAAGGGACTTTACATAAACTAGGCCCATTCAAGGAGTTGGTGCAAATGGTGAGCCTCTGACTTCTACCCAAAAGGCTGGCAGTTCAAACCCAGGCAGTGACTCCACAAGACAAAGATCTGATGGTCTACTTCCACTAAAGATTACAGCCATGAAAAGGCTATGAGGCTATTCTACTCTTACCAGCTGGTGTATCTAAGATTCAGAACTGGCTTGAGAGGCTGGAGTACGGTGCAGATTGTGAGGATGGCATAGGATAGGGTGAGACCATGATCTACTGCTATGAGTTGTAGCTGACTTGATGGCACCTATCATCAGACCTACTCAGCAAAAACAGGGCAGCATTCAGAGACTGAGAAGAACACGAAGGGCTATAGGTGCTGGGAACAGGGCATTTTCTGGCCCCGGGTAAAAAAATAAAGTTATTATTTTTGTTGTTGTTAGGTGTCACTGAACGATTCTGAACCATGGCGGTGCCATGGGCGCAGAGAAGGCCTGTTCTAAGCGGTTTTCAAGGCCATGACCTTTCAGAAACAGTCAGTCCTTCTTTCCAAGATGCCTCCGGCTGGATCTGAACCACAGACTTCTCAACTAGTAGTCCAGTGCTTACCAATGTATAACACCAAGGCTCCAGAAAATACCACAAACCACTATGAAATGTCTCATCCAGGCTTCTAAATCAACAGAAGAGAAAAACTGCTTGGATCTCTAATGATTCCAGTCTCAGATTATCAGTCCATAGTATACTCATCAACAACTTACCCCCCACCATCCTATCACTGTACCATTCTTCCTCCCAAAGGGCAGAGTCTGCCCAGACCTGAACTGGACTTGCTACGGCCACTGATTAGGTGGAAAGAACCACCACCATGTGGGTTTGACCTCAAGAGTGTTTTCCTGCATGTTTCCACTGTCCTTTCTTGCCCCTCTGCCATCACCCAGAGAAGGGCATGCCCAGGCTAGCCCACGGGAGGACCAACGACATGTGGTGTAGGACCAAGTCGGCAGCTGGTCAACTCCAAACACGTGAGGCCAGCCAAGATCAGCAGAACCACTCCCAGTGTTCTCCAGATAGTGAAATAAACACTTCTTACAGGCTACTGAGGTATTATGATCGTTTGTAACACAGCATTCTTGTGGCAATAGGTAACTGGGACATGGTCCTGTCCTCAAGAAAAAGAGAGGCTCACAGTCTCTCAGACATTACAAAGACATTCTCAAATAACACTAGCGTGAACAAAGGAAGAAAATGGGTGGGAACAGGAAATATGCTGAATGTGGGCGATCAGATTACCAAATGGGGCACAGGTATTAATTAGGGGACCAGGGACCACCCCTAAATGTCACTTCAGTAACAAGGCTGCAGAAAGAGATGTTGGAAACACCAAGTGAAGCTGGCAACACGTTCCTTCCTCAGTAAACTAGCACCAAGAAGATCCACAATAAGGAGCACTCAAGTCAGTGGGTGATGCCTCTCGAATCCTAATTCAGTTTATGAAAGAGCAAACTTTCTCTATAATGACTCAGAAATTTAGTGTGTGTCAAGGTTTCCTGTTTGGGTGATTTTAGAAATAGCGAGATAGCATTGATTATATATATCCAGAGGTCAGATGCTAGCCAGGACAGGTCATAGGTCATTTGATGAGTGAAGAGAACACGTTTAGAGCTACCACACCAGGTTGCTGGGAGAAAACAAAGCCCAAAACATTATCTGTCAAGTTAGTTGGCCAAAGGATGGGATTCCAAGTTACGGTCCCAGACCACTGGCTCTTCAGCCTCAAGTTTTGCCATTTGGGTTTCCCAAGTATATAGCAAGGAGCTCAGGCGGTTTAATAATGGTAAGGTGTTGAACTGTCTCAACAAAGGCAATAGGTTCAAATTCACTAGCAAAAGATGGGTGATCTCTTCCCAAACTACTTACAGCCTCTGAAAACCCACTGGAAGGTGAGCTATGAGTCAGTTCTGACTCCACAGTACCTAACAAGTATATAGTAGCTTAGTGAAGTCAAACCAATTTGGGGATGCAAGAAACTTGTTCCCAGAGAAACAAAGGAAAACGAAAAAAGGGGTTGCTGGAAGGAACTCAGCCAGAGCTTCACAAAGCCTGGACAAGCTCCAGGGTTCTAATCTCAGGTCTGTCAAGACGTTAGGAAGCCCCTAAGGCCAAGAGCGACCTGTCTTCTC